CCCTTTGTCGATGGGGTCATGCAGAAGCCAGAGCATATTTTTGACTGAAACAATACAATATCAAAATAATATTACTTGAAGGGTTCGAAGAAGCTTTGATTGGGGCGCTTTCTTAAGTAAATTGAGAAAACTCAATAATGTTGTATAATGTATATTAAAAAGAAATCCATTGATAATTAAGCTTATTCCATGATTTTTTTATTAATGATTTTATGGATTTTAACTAACAAAGGTTTCCTACAAAAATATTCAAGAACGCCACTTATATGTATTTATTTGACAATTATTGTTGCGAGGGCATTGCCATACCTGTTGTTGAGTTCAAAAGCATAAAGGAACAAGAAGCAATAAGGTAAATGCAAAACTTGTAAAAAAAATATAATAAATTTACAATAACAGCGATGTTGTCTTGTTTGTTCGCGTGCTAGAATTTAATTTACGTGAAAATATTAAATATTTAGTAAGCTGCCTTATATTTAAGGTTCTCAATCTTAAATTGTAGGTGTGAATTGATAATTTCATAATATCTGAAATATTTAGTAACTGCTATCATAAGTCTTGTCTTATATTAGCATGTTGTTATTGATTTCTTGACCATAAGAATTCATGCTGTATCATGAATGAAATTTCTGAATAGATATTAGACAATAAGAATTATACTTATACAGCTTTAACTAAGTTGTATAACTTTTATACAGTCATGCAAAAGAAAACTATTATAAATTTTTATTTATTGTGACTTTAACTACTGTTAATATTTAATGTCTCTATAGATATTTTATGGCTTTTATCATTTTTATGCGCAATTTGAAATGATGCTATAAATGCTACACTATGGTTATCAAACTACGTAACCTATAAAATAAACCAATTACTTAATCAGGTTTCAAATGGTAGAATCAATCCAATAAAATAGACGAGGTCTATGATGTACTTATATCAGATAATCGAAGAAATTGGTTTGTATGACTATAGTTATACGAGCCCAAACCTCAGCTGATGTAACATTGTGTTCATTGTAGGAACATTGCAAGGGGTTGTAAGGACATCACATCATACAAGGAAAAATGAAACGCATTGGTTATGGTATATAAAAATCTTTAAATAATTTTATTTTTTTTTTACTGCATTTTTGGTGCACTAAGCCAAATTAACAAATTAACATAAATATATTCCTTTTAAGAAATGAGCACAAAAGCACTAAATACAATAAAGAAGAGTACTGCAACTAGCACAATGAATAATAAGTATCTATATACTACTTAGAATAGCTTTTCTAATTGCTACTAATAGTGTTTTCCTTATCTGTACACTGTATTTAATACCATTATGTGCTATTTAATATTTAGTATTTTTGAGATGGCAATATTGAAGTTAAGAGCTTCATTTGTACTTTCAAATTAATATTTATTTAAGTTTATTTCATATTACTTGATTTTTATGTATTTTTAGGTCTCTCTATTACTGAAAACTTTTCAGTTTCAAATTACATATTTCAAAATACAATAAGTAAGTTCAGATATTAAACAAATTTTCTCATTGTTGGCAAAAATTTTCTGCAAAATCTAACATAGAAGAAATAAAACTTAATGAAGTTTCACAGTAACCAAGCCATAAACAGCAGAGTTCACTAAGTCAAACCGTGTAAAACTTAACTGAAACAAAAGTAGATATACCTAAGACCGCATGACATAATAACACAGAGGTACCATGATGAGCGCAGTACCTACAACATGATTACGTGAAGATACATACCAAAAAATGTGCTGGTAGTTTAACATGAGCAAACAAGATTTAAAAGTTTATTGACTTTACTTTCTTAAAGCACAACAGAAAAGAGTTTTATATAAACAATTTTTAATTCACAGAGCATAAGTATCCATTGAAATTGTTGAAGATGTTAGGTAATTTATTCCTAAATGAAGCTGCTAAAGAAAGAGTGTAGAAATACTCATAAATTATGCAATATGCAAAGTGAGCAAAGTATCTGCAGTTGGGCGGATAACGTCATTCAACTGTTGACAAAATGCCACCAACATGCAAACTAGACTGAAAGGCAGGTCTTCCGAAGTTGCATTAAATGCATTGAAATGCAACAACAAATTTCAATTATCTGTGAGCTGAGTGAGATACATTCACTGTTAAAAAAATTAAATTACTTAATGATACTATCACTGCTCATTAAACCCTTGTAAGGCTAGTCATTCGGAAAAGATACAAAGTGATGTGAACGGCTAATAAAAGCGCTAAATTCCTCAACTGCAAGTGTTAGCCACATTTCAAGTCGTTTGCCGCTTGATTGACGCTTTAATGATGCTAATTATCCGATCAGAAAAAAATCTTTTTAAATTTATTTCTGTCGGGTTCATTTAAATCAATTTATGTGATTTGACACTTCATAAATATAAAAGTCAAGGGAAATATTAAATTTCTTGTAAAAAAACAATAATAAATAAATTTGACTGAAGTGAAGCTCAATTCAGGTTTCCAGTAATCAACGATCGCCAAGGGCCATACTTTCTCCGGATTTTGAGCGAATGTAGCAGTTCACGTCAATTTTTTATTTGTCGAAATAAATTCAAAATTATGTTTACTTTTTATTTTCATGTTAATTATTTTCATTATTATCATTATTTTTATCATTATTATTGTTGTTATCAATTTATTGAGGGTTTAAAAAAGTCTGAGTAAGCCGAAACGAGTTGAAGTGGTTCAATGGCAATCAATTTTTATCGTTCGCTTTTGGCGCTTCAAAGTTTACAGTTTATGCCTTGTTTCAATATAAAATTACGAGTATTAAAATAAAATAAAAACTGCAATCGACAAGTATCTTTCACTTCGATTTATTTATAAATCAGTTAATTTAATATTCACACATTAATTTGCATAATCACTGCCTGGTAGGAAGTAAATTTAACAGCTGATCAAATGTTTGCGATCGTAAATAAATTGTTGAACTGATTTACAAATGTCGAATAAATATTCGAAAATATTATCAAAATATGTATTTCCAATACCATAAATAACAAAAACTTAGTAAATATTATAAAATTTATTTATTACCATTAAACATTATAGTCACGGTAGTCACTTATGGGAGTGAAACCTTTAGATTAATTGATGCCGAAGCAAGCAAACGGGCGGTATTTGAAAGCAGGATTATAAGAAAAATATTTGGAACAGTGCAAGAAAGAAATTCAGAATATCGCATAAGATTTAATGATGAACTTCATCAACTGATGGAAGGTGACACAACAGTCAAGCACATAAAAAAGCAACTGTGAAACTGAATAGGAAGTGCGAATGTCTGAAGGAAGAGCAGCACCCAGAATTTTCGAGAGTGAAGTTAGAACAGCGAGAAGAAAAGAAAGACCGAGAAAGAGATAAAATAACAGTGTTCGACAAGATCTGAGAGATATGAATGTCACCTAGTGGAAGATAAAAAAGAAATTTGAAAATAATGGAAGAATGTCGTAAAACAAGATTATGTCGTACATGGACATAGCTATGGATGACGATGATGCTTAAATATTATAATTCTTGTAACGATATGCAGACAACTGTAAGGAATTTGGCCTCTTCTTGAATTGAACGATATTTTTTAAATTAAAGTTCTCAGTTCTCAGGGTTATGATGAGAATGCTGACAGCTGAGTATCGGTTATGAAAGCAATTTGGAAGATTCAAATTCTACCACATTTGTGAGTAAGATGGAAAAGTGCTTCACATCAGCTCAGCTTTGCTAGCGTACGAGGAACACAGGTTAAATCTTCTAGGGATGTACTTTCTATAAGATCTAAGCTAGCTGCAGGCCAATATCATGAAGAGCATCTTAGCCTTTCAAAAAGGCAGGAAATAATTCTGACCTTCGGGACTTAGACAGCAACATAATGCTGATTCAGTATGTCTAAGTGGCCCACGAATCTTCATGAAAACTTATGCGATAGCAACAAAGATAAAACATTCTAGAAACCGATTTTTAAGAAGTTCTTAGCAAGCTACAAGACCTTCCCTATAAGCACATCTTTAGCTTTATATATGGCACAAAATGATTTTGAATGGTTGGGTGAGTACACAGTAATAGATCACCAAGGCTTAGTACATTATACAATCTCTAAAAAATCATAATCTCTATTACAGTAAAATCATGCAATTAAAGTATTACGTCATGTGATAAGTACGAAAATTATCAGCACTAAGAAAAACTGGAAACCTACATTGTATATTGTAAAACTATTTTTTTTTGCTTAAAATATAATAAACGGATATTGCTAAATCTTCCCTTAGTTGATTGAATTCTTCTCATATAGTGGAGTATATGGAGCAAGCTACGTAAGCTTGCTGTTGTAATTCATATTCAGAAGACTGATTTTGAAATTCGAAATGAAAACCAAGTCTCATTTTTTTGCAACATTTGGTACATCGATCGAAAATTAATTCTGCAATTATTCCTGTATCTTCAAACATAAACTTTTTGATTAAATGAAAGAATTTCGCTGAAACGTCCGCAAAAGGATTTCGCAAGGATTTCTGCATATCAAAGAAAAATTAGTCAAGTGGGTTTTATTGGGATCCCTGCATTTTTATGAAAATAAAACGATGTTGAAAGGACTCCTATATTTCTATGAAAATCTTTAATTCACAAAAAAATAATATATTTTTTGACTGAAGTTACAAAGACTAAAGCTACTAGATAAACATTATAATCCCGTCAACTAATTTTATTCTTGAAGGACCAATAGAAGAGTTACCAAAACTTTCAACTAGTATTTGAAGTATCTAAATTATCTTTTAGTATAAAAGTAATAGCTGTCTCTTAGGTTAATACGAATATTTACGTATGGGATAGTAACTAAATTAAATACCCATGTACTATATATGATGGTGTCATAATATGATATACGATGTTATCCATAATTTCAGTTTAATTAAAAAAAATTTTCTTTTCGTATTTTCTAATAATACAAATGTTATTTAAAAATTTTTCAAAGTCTAACTTACCATTCTTTTTAGCATCCTTTGCTTCAGCAGCAGCAGCATCCTTTTTATCCTGTTTTGGTTTAGCTAAGTTGTTGTCTACTAAGAGTAGACACACTAAGCCTAGCACCAAAAGTTTGGTCGAAAAATTTAATTTATGCAACATTTTACGGTTAAAAGCCAAAGAAAGTTTTTGTAAGTTGAAGTTAATTTCACTTCAGATAACTGCAAATAGCTAGTTTTGTACGCTTCTTTCGAATTTTTGATTTTGGGAAAGAGATACACTTTCAATTTGGCTTAATGACAGCAGCTGTAGACAATCTTAAGCGGTATTAAGACTTAAGTCATCGAAGGCAGCAGAGCAGCAGACCAGCAGACCAGCAGAACACCAAAATTTCATGCGAAGTCAACAAACTAGTGGAAGACCGAAGAAATTTCACTTTCGTTGGCTCGACTTTCGTTGGTTTGTTGATGATTCGAGTTTCGAGTGTGGCGAAGTGGGCACCGTCTCGTTCAGGTTTGAGCTGGGGTCACTGTTACTCTAGGCAGTGTTTGTTTACTTTTTTTATTATTAATTTTTTATGTTTTATGCTTTATGCTTTATGTATTTATTTAATTTTTTATTATAATATTTTCAAGAAAAAGTTGATATTAATTTTTGTTTATCACGTTTCAAGTAGGAAAACAAGTGTTGTTGCCACTGCCACTGGTTCACTTCACTTCACTCAGCACTTGCAATCCATATAATTTCGTAATGTGGTCAGCAAATGTTAAAAAAAACAACACAAAATTCAAAATTGAAACTGAAACACTTTTTGTATATAATTTTTTGCTGCCTTTGGAATTATTAGTGCAGAAAATTTATATTCAATGCAAAAATACAATAGTTTTGAAAAGTAGTAGCAGTTGTTGTTGCTATTGTTGTTGTTGTTGTTGTTGTTGTTAATATTTAATAGTTGTTGCTGATATAGTAAATGTTGCTTTATAATTTAATTTAACTTTTTTATTTTTATTTATTTTATAGTGCTTTGCAAAATCCAGTTAGCACGCTGGTTTATTGTTTTTCTCCTTTATTTATGTTATAAAATTTTTTTGTAAAATTAAAAATTGTTTAACACTGTAAGTTTAATTATTTTTTCCTCTTTATACACGGAACTCTTTTGGCATCCGATACAGCCAACGCCAGCAATTGAACGATAAACACAAATCCTAATAAATTTGCACGCACGCTTCCGCTTTGTAATCACCTTAGCAGATCTCTAATGATAGACCCACAGTTCCCATAAGAAAACAAGTTGCCTGTTGTTAAGCCAATGTCCGTCAATAGCCTTTACTAAATTAGCTTGGTATTGCTATCTCGTATCTCGTAACCAAGTCAAGTGCGTATGAAATCACTTTTTTTTTAGTATAAAAATTTAGTATAAAATTCGGTTTCAAAAGTATCTCAAAACGAAACGCGCAAGACAACGGCGTCCGCAAAACTCAACTCAACGTCTCCAAATGCAAGATAAGCGCTCTGCCCGAACGCTGTAAACGATCTGAGCTCGGTTTCTGCTTGTTAGTAAGTTTTAAGCTCAGTTTGTCGCTCTCAACGGCTTGAGTCTCTGTTTACGTCTGGAGTTCATTTTCTGTTGGAGCGGATGAACTTCAAGTCGAGAGTTTGTTTATTTGGATTTTATGAATGAAAATGAATTCGACGTTTTACTATGCGAGCCAAGAAACCTGTCCAATCAGCTGATGCCAAACCGGTAATCGTAGTAAACAGTTCCAGCGTTTGTTATTAGTCTGACGGCTTTAGTTAATGTTTTGTGAAAGTCTTAGTCGGCACAGTCGGCTTTTTTATTGTTTGGCTTAGCACGTGGCCAGATAAGTCTGAAGAGAGGGAATGTAGTTGCACTGAAATGAGTTTAAGAGACGCTTTGAGATATTAAAAGAGAAATATTTTACTAAGATATTTATTGATTCATATGCAGTTTTAAAATGATTTTTTTTTTTTATTTTTGTATTATAAACAAATTTTTTTAAATTAAATACTGCAATATATATGTATAGATATTATATTTATATATTAAATAAAAATTGTAAAATAATTCGTTGTTTTTTTAATATTTATTTTTAACAAAAACAAGAAATTGACCTATTAGTCTGTGAGAATACTTTAGTTAAAAACTGTTTGGTCAAAAAATAAAAAATATTTAAATACACATAGAAGTATATATAGATTTTATAATATCTTACTAATTATATACAGCTATTATATATCTTTAGTTGCTGTTTAGAAAATGATTTAACTAATGAAATTTATGTAACTCTTGCAATAAATCTTGGATTGATAGTGAAACTGATTGATAGTAATCTTACTCTTAATACCAACCTACTCTTTCGAAAATGTTGTTTGTTCTAAACAAAAGAATGATGGTTTATGTTTCTTGGATATAAGTACTAACAATATAAATTAATTAAGTGTCCTTTTAAATTATTTTGGGGTACAAAACTTACCACTATAATAAAGAACAACTGGCAATTTTGGGTACGAGACCTAATGCCCTAGCACTGTCCAGAAACCTCTGACACGTGTGTACCTTCTCCAGTTTCTTACATAAAGTGCGGTTATTGCTTCCTATACTTGATCAGTCTATTGGATCAATGTCTTACCTTTAAGACTTCTTCTTCCAACTGCTGCTTCAAACACTATTTACGTTCTAGTCTTATCATCCATTCTCACGACATAATTAAGTCAGCAAACTGGAACCTTTTGACTCATTCGATATTGATAATCAAAGCAAAGCTGGAACTTTTTGACTCATTCCATGTCATAGTCAATCAGAAACTCGTAGAGGACCAAAGATAATACAAAGAAGTTTTCTCACAAAAACTTCCAGTCTTGTGTCATGATTTTGTGATGGCGTTCAGTGACCCTAAAATGGCCCTAAAATTAAGCAGACAGTATAATTAAAATGAAAGGATGTTAGAGTCTCTCATATGAAGAAGAGAGACTCATATGAAGAAGCCATGATACCAATATATCATATTGAGATGCTGGTAATATTTTATTAACATCAAAGTAGTTCATGACTACTTCAATGAATTTTTTACAATAGATTTGAGTTAAATCTAAATAAACTGTATCCACTCTAATCTACACAGAGCTCCAGTATTTGTCCAAAATTTGATAATGTATATTTGATATAAGCTTCGGTTAGTGGTGTTCTCATCATCAATGTTATTGTAATCTATATCGACATCTTTATGTTACGTGAGTATTGCCTCCAGTTGGTAGTGTTATTAAGATCAATACATATTAAGATCCTAAAAAACATATTATAGTAATTATTAATATTGATATTATAAAGCTGAAAATACACTTTTTTATATATAGAAATATTATGACGAAATATTTATATTCACAATACTATTAATATTATTACAATAATAATAAAAGTCAATTTTTTTCATTTATTATAAAGTTTGAATCAATTGCTTGTTTCTCGAATTAATATTTTTTAACAGCTCGAATTAACAGCTTTCAGCTGTCATTTATGGATCCAGCACTAGACACTAGTAGTGAACATTTTGTAACATGACATCACTCATTGCAATTGCAATAAATCACTTTTCCATTTATGTTGGATTTAACCTTTCGAATACTAAAAAGTCAAACAATTATTATCATAAACAATGGAGAATTCATGCATTTATCGGGTTCTCATTATGTAAGGCGCACGAGAACTGAAGGCGCACTGGTACAGAGCGAAATAATTTATTCGATTGTGTAACAAAACTGACAGAACTAATTAAATAAATCTATCATATTCACGGTCATACTTCAGAACCAAACGATGAAAGCCACAACAATCCAAAGATGTACCACAGCACCACCGAGTTCCGCGTTGCTCGTCGTTCAACTTTTTAGCTGGAAAGCTATCGAAGAGGAAAAATTCTCGTAAATTGTCGTAAATCCCCACAAATTGTTGTTATCGTAATTTTGCTTGCAATTACCTGTCAATGCGATAATAATAATAAAAATAGTAACAATAATAATTTTTCAATAAGCAATGAATATTTCAAAGAATGGAAGAAGACCACAAAGCTATCATCTAACATTTTAAATGCAAATTTATTATGCAACTATTACCGAGGTTTCCGATGGGAGCTGTGAGTGTACAACGATTAAGTAATAAAAAATAAATATTAATAACAATTGCTAATATAAATGAAATTCATACGAGTCTGTGAAGATAGATAATTATTCTTAAAGAAGCCACATTTTATTATAACTTTGTTATGGTTTTGATTTAAGTTTGTAGTGAGACTCTTCAAGACAGGTAGGATGGAATGTAAGTATAAGACTGTAGTATAAATATGTTTAATTAAAATTATTTAAATGTATAAGCATTACCGTAGCTACAGGGAATATATGGTGCTCTAACATATATTTAAAAGTATGATCGAAATAAATAATGAAAACAACCTTTTCATAATCAACCTTAATCAATATATATATACAGTTTTTTACAAATTAAATGTTTGTGTAAAGAATCACATATAAATCCACCTTTCTCCAACATAATTACATACCAACTACTACCAATATATTAACCACTGCTTAAACCGATAAATAATAAAAGTCCAGACGTACAAAATAATCTTTGTAAATAACTAGAATAGTAGGAGTACTGTCGAAGTCGAAGTTGCGGATGGAGAGAAGAAGAAACCAAACCTGCGTAATCTTTCGCTAACTGGAACAAAAATCATATATCTATCGGTTCTTATATCCTTTAATATTTATTCCACTGTAAAATGGCAGTAGAAATGGTAGCGTCAATAAAATGTCATCGCTGTTATCTGAACAAGAACAGGAGGCCTTCACATTTAAAATTACAACAATCATATAGAGCATTTGAAGTTCTGTTAAGCTTTAAAGACTAAACAAAAGGAAAAATCTTCTTTGAGGCATTTGTAGAGTTATGCCAGTGCTTTCTGAACATAAGACATAAATTTTGTAACTCAAACTCGGTAACAAATTTATTAATAATATAAAATTTTTTTTAAATTTATTTTTCGACCCATTTATTATAGATCGGAATCCAGATGATGAGTCTCAAGGAGAGTCGAAATATAGAGTTTAATAAAAAATATTAAAGTTATATTATTTAAAAGAAGAAACCTGTCAAAATAAAAATATATGAAAAACTATTTTATTAAAAATAAACGAAAATATAAAAAACATCCGAATGATACAACATTGAACCACAGGGTTAAGTAAGTTCTAACACTTTTTTGTTAAAGAACGTCCAAATTTTTTTCTTGATTTCCCTTTGGATTTAGGAAGTAAGCCTATATATTATTATTTTAAAAGAAACCTATTTGTTATTTAAAATTATAAAATATGTTTTAATGAAGAACAGTAATAATATTTTTGCTTAATTGAAATATTGAGTACATATTTAATATAATCCATAATGGAGATTACCATAATGGAGATTTGTAAATTTCATAGAGATAAATAATGGATAATAGTTTATTAAATGAAGATAATGCATTAATTAATGAAAGTAACTATTTGATTTCATAGAAACTAGTATATTTCATAAAGAGGTTTTCAAAAAGTAGTGAACTATAACAACAAAACTTAGTTTTAATATTATTTTAATTAATTAATGAAGATTTTTAGTTCTAAAAATTATGTGGCTGTGTATCTTAAGGTTGTGATATTGTACATAACTAGGACATCGAGGACATCATCTATCTATTTAGACATCATTATTGGACATTTATTGTTATGAAAAGATAACAAGTACACATAGATATCATAGTATTATTGTTAGGGGATGTGGCACTGCGACCGTCGGGTCTATTGTACCCGATATCACAGTAGTTCCTGAATAAAATATTTGTACTTTGATGTGTAGAACTTATCATAATGTGATATGAAATTTGATATATTATCAAATTTGCACCTTTTTGCAAAACTCATCACTATGACATGTAGGTTAAACATTTTTTTTTCATTTTATACTATAACTTATGTCTAATATTTAACCAGTACTTAGTAAATATTAAGTAAAAAACTTTTAATTGTTATTAATTATTAACATTAAGACATCTTCGCTTGAGCAATAAATACAATAAATCAATAATTTTGGTTTTAACAAAAATGGAGACATTAAGCAAAAAATGTTGACAAACACTTTTCGAACATAAAACATAAAATTTGTATCTCGAACTCGGTAACAAATTGATTAATTACCAGGTTACGCCTCTGAATTAAAAACAACTTTCAAAAGTTCAAATATTTGGATTTGAAACGACGTACAAAATCAAATGTTAAAAGACTTTTGGGAAAGAAATGTTTGGCATCCAAAAAAAAACAAAAAAAAAAACAAACGACGGACAAGATAATATAATTACGTAAAGAGCATAAAATCTTTATAATTAATCTTCTTCAGCGAATTAACCTAAATTCGCAAACTATAAACTTCAGAAATGAAAAATTTATCGAATGTGAGCAGAAATGTTTAATTAATTGCAACAAAAGAAACTAAATCATTAACAACAAATCGCAAACAAAAGTTCAATTTAAATAATGCAAATGCGGTTCGAAATATGAAAATGACAGATTGTATCTCATGTAAGTCCATAAGAAATATTTATTTAAAATTATGCAAAATTTATTGCTTTTTGACTTATATAAATTATCGATTATCGATTATCGATTAGGTTAACACAGAAAACCTTTGAATCGAACATAAATCGGAAATTCAAAATTGGATTTGTCACAAGTTAATTTAGCGAACAATAGATACTGGCACCCAATAGATTAATGGCACCAAATTAAGGAAATAATGGGAAAGAAATTATTAAAAATGTTTTTTAAATTAGTAAAAATGTTTTTTA